TGAGGGGCGAAACGTTTCTTTTTAACAAAAAAACGAAGTCCAGATGATATGATTCAACCAATTTAACTTGTTTTAAATGAGACTGAACAGCAAAGGCAGATCATCTGCACACAAGTTAATTGTAGGATTTGATCAATTTTTACGTAGATTGCATGTTTTAGAGAGTGAAGAGCAGTGGTCCTCGTACGGAGCCCTGAGGAACATATTTAATGAAAAGAGGAAAATAACTCAGCGTGGAGGACATACTATGTTCTAGCTGACAAGTAGTTTGAAGCCAACTTAGTGAATTTGCAGATACGCCAGTTTTATTGTCTTTGATGGTAAATGTGTGTTTTTGCTATTTAATTTACGTGTCATGACCTCCTTTTGTTTTATAATCCACTTTTTAGTTAGAAGTTCTGATTAGGACTACCCGATGGCATCCTTGGATGAAGAACTGACCTGCTTGGTGTGCAGAGACAGCTTCAGTCAGGCCCACCCCCTACCCTGTGGACACAGCTTTTGTCCCGCTTGCATTCGTGAGGCCTGGAGCAGCCAGAAGGAAGGAAAACATTGCTTTACCTGCCCTCAGTGTCAGGAGGAGCATGGAGAAGTGCCATGCGACTGCTGTCCTCCCCAGGCAGAAGACGGGCGACCCGCTCTGGCTGTGAAGACCTGCTTGAGGTGTGAGGTGTCCCTGTGTGCTGGCCACCTCCAGCCCCACCTGGAGAGACCGGCGTTTAGCAGCCACCTGTTGGTGGAGCCAGTGGGGGACCTGTCCCAGAGAAGGTGTCCGGCACACTCAGAGGTGTACCGCTACTACTGCGTGGATGAGAGGGTGTACGTGTGCGGAGACTGCCTGCTGGAGGGGGGCCACGTTCAGCACAAAGTGAAGGCACTGAGACAGGTGGAAGAGGACCTGAAGGTCAGTTGGATGGCTCCACAATGAGTGTGTGCACGTTCTACAGATCTGTGTGAGGTTTCTGTTACAATGCATGTGTGACTTCACAGGTCATCCTTCAGACACTGCTCATCAAAGCAGACACCAAACTCAGAGACGGGGAAAGAATCCTCAGAGAGCATGAAAACACTGATTCTGCCATGGCCGTGAGTTAAAACACACCGAGTAAAGAAAATAACTCAGTAGAACGTGTCATTGGAACGTTCAAAAAATCTAAATGTACATATTTTTCATAATCATTTTGTTTGTTCAAACACATCATGCAGAGTGTTTGAGTCAGTCTCTGATCCTCCAGTAGCCAAACTGATTTCTGGTTCCAGGACTCTCTGAAGAAGGACGACAGTCAGGTGGAGCGGCTGGACTCAGACCTGCAGAACCAGGTAACAAAGTTAGCATTAGCTCTGAAAGAGATCACCAAGAGGGAGCGACAGCAGATCATAGAGCGCGTGAACAAAGACTGCGCCAAAGTTCGGGCCGACATGAGCCAGACGATGAACATTCAGCACTACCTGAACCTGCTGCTGGCCGAGACGGACCCCTTCCTGCTCATCTGGGTACAACGTTTAACCAAATACAAATGAAACAACTTTTTAAAAGAAAACAATATGATGTGTAAGGTCATGGCTGTAGTTAATGAGGGGATTAAAAAAAAAACAATTTGGCTTCTGTTGAATAAACCAAAGCCTCCGTGAAGCTGATTTTTTTTCTTAGTGCTTAACTGATTTTTCTTGGAGTTGCTTTAAGTCAGTCCAGCTCCTTAATTTGAACAGAATTGAAATCACAACTTTGAACAGATATTTTTACAGGATGAATTTTCAGAGTTGTTTCTGGTAATTCACAAAACTCTCAGTTCTTTGCACTTATTTATTTATTTATTTATATCTAAATGGATGAGTTTCTTCACCACCTCATCGTTCTGAGGCAGGTGCATCAGGGGAGTTATTGGTGTGAAAAGTGGACGAGTGTTTTAAGAACGGGTCGTCTGACATGACGTCAGCATCAAAATGAGAAGTTATGGTTTGTGAGTTAGATATAAGTGTCTGATGAAGATGTCAAACGTGTGGCATGAGGTTCCAGCATGCAGAGGCAACATTTATCACTTACTGCAGGGAGGTGCTGTCTCTGGCAAAAAGGGGTTACTGGAAATTCCCTCCATCTGTCCGTCCATTTGTCCATACTGTGAGCATAACTGCAAAAATAAGTGAGGTAGCAACTTCCATTTTAGCGTAAGAAAAGTTCCTTTTGAAAATTAGGGTGCCACATTCAAAATCCAAGATGTCTGCCACCACACACACATAAGTACATCAACCACCTAAAGAAACTTAAATAAACTATGCTCTCTAATTTGTATATTTCTTTAAAGTATAGTTTCCTCAAATGATTTGGGTGGGTGGGGGGTGCACAAAGATTATTCTATGGGGGCTAAAGCCACCATTGGCCACCCCTTGCTCCACCACTCCACCTGGTGGTGAATAAAACTGCTCCCTCCATTCACCAGGATTTGTCACTCTGTGCTGCCTCAGACAAAGAACAACTCCTCCACAGTGTCACTATGACCTGAATATCTTGCACCAAAAACATTTAGGTTTACGTACATTCTCTGTTTAATTCCAATCCAGAAAAACACTCTTGTCAAAAACAACATTCACTATTCAAATCCCTCAGTGACAGAGACAATGATGTTCTGCTTGTTTTACTAGTGCCTACAAATCCTGTTCCGTTAAAAAAAATAATCTGTGAAATCTTTCACATCTGATGGAGGAATTAACTAAAAAGACAAAAGCTGCATCCAGTGGGAAGAAGTCTGACGGTGCAACAACATATGTTTGTGAAACACTTTTAGATGTTTGCACGTTTGTGCAGCACAGACGTCAGAGTTCACTCTTCATTTTGGCAGCAGATCCGTGGGGAGGTTTATCACAAATATATTACTTTATGTTCTCAAAGCAGATAACCCATGCTAAGATGAAAGTGTTGACTTATTTTTTTCCAGCTTCCTGCAAATCAGGTCATTCTAAAACGGTTCCCATCATGTCTTAAAATGAGGTAAAACAACCTCAGCTGCATGCAAAGAGAACATAATATACTGTATGTTCTCTTTGTATTCATATTGTATACATATATTGTATATGTATGTGTAACAAATATTACCCTCCTTGGATTTTTAACACAAACCAAGCCAAAATTCAAACCCTAAGTACACCCATTTATCAGTGTGTAATTATCGACTGGCCTTCCTTCATTAGTGAATGTAACCACCTCGGTCTGTAAATGAAGAAATCTACAAGAAAATGGCTCAAATGAAAAAGTTGCAGTGCTCAGGTCAAAGCTTGTTTCTTTACCAAGCTGAAAGGCTGCAACAAGAGCCCAGAATGAATTTTCATGGACAGTTCTCCTCTCTCACCCAGCTGAGGGACTGATTGTTACTGGTAAAGGTGGTTTCTGCAGTTTGGGCTCGTTATGGTAGTGTTAACTCCTTCATCTGCATTTAGCGTCAGATTTCTGTAACGAAACAATGACACTTTGTTACACGTTGTTCTTTCTTTGTTGTGTTTAGCAAATTAACAGAATAATCTGATGTTTGTCCTGATTAATACACAAACAATTGCAAGTGAGAATAGAGGGAACATAATAAATGACACAAAGATGCATCAACTGTGGATAATGATTGTAGTTTTTTATAGATTCACACAAGAATGTAATTATTTCTAGGATTATTTGACATGTTTCTTCCCCTTTCCCTCCACAGGCATTTCAATCAGATGATACAAAGTGAGTTTTGTTTTTAGCTGTTAATGTGTTGAAATAGGCTGAATCAGGAGTTTATGTTTTTTAGAAAAATAGTCCGCTCGTTTGACAGATGAAAGATGGACTAACTGCAGATGTGACTAATTCTGTTTTGTGTGGGGGGTGTTTTGTGTTGTAGATTATTAGCTGACCTGAACTGCTCCCTTTTCGTTCCTGACCCCATCAGTCTGGACAGGAAACACATCCTGGAAGACATAGAGAACAAATACCGAGAGTTCATCACCGCCACGCTCCGCTGCCTCACCGAACTCAAGAGGGATCTCTGTAAGTAGCACATTACGCAAAATATCATTATACTTTGAGTAAAATGCAATGATTTACTAATTTCATAAATCCATGTTTTATTTGCAGTGAAACAAAATAAATAGTAAATGTTTAAAATTGAGACATTGTACTTTTATAAACGAGGGAATTTTAAATTATATGGCTGCAACACGGTGGATCAGTTGGTAGAGTAGTTGCCTCTCGGCGAGAAGGTTGCCGGTTAAAATCTCGGTCCGGGGGCCTTTCTGGGTGGAGTTTACATGTTCTCTCAGTGCATACGTGGGTTTTCTCCAGGTACTCCAGTTTCCTCCCACAAACCAAAAACATGCATGTTAGACTGATTGGTAACTCTAAATTGTCCCTAGGTGTGAGTGAGAGAGAGAATGATTGTCTTGTTTGTCTCTATGTGTCCCTGTGATGGACTGGAGACCTGTCCAGGTGTCCCCCGCCTCTCAAACAGTGACTGCTGGATATGGACACCAGTGACCACCATGACCCGAAAAGGAAGAAAATGATAAAGAGGATGGATGGATGGATGGGTCCCTATTAGTCTCTCATGTAGTAAAGACTGTCCTGGGGTCCACACCCACAAGCACATAAATGTTACAAGCATCCATCCATCATCTTTTATCCACTTCTTCCATTTTGGGTCACGGGGGTCGCCGGTGCCCATGTCCAACAATCACTGTGCGAGGGGCGGGGTACACCCTGAACATGTCTCCAGTCCATCACAGGGACACATAGAGACAAACAACCATTCACTCTCTCACTCACACCTAGGGACAATTTAGAGTTACCAATCAGTCTAACATGCATGTTTTTGGTCTGTGGGAGGGAACCGGAGTACCCGGAGAAAACACACTCATGCATGGAGAGAACATGCAAACTCCACTCAGAAAGGCCCCAGACTGGGATTTGAACCAGGGACCTGCTCGCTGAGAGGCAGCAGCTCTACCAGTTGCACCACCGTGCTGCCCACAAGAACAAGCAGCTGGACTAAATATTGGAGGACTAATTTTATTGTTTGGGGAGAAATTAAATGGACATTGCACCAAATTCAACAAAGTTCAGTCAGGTCATCTGGATGGTGTTTTTGGTTGCTGAGACGTTTCATCCTTCATACGAAGGACTTCTTCAGTCTGAGGAGCCACCAAACCAAACTGAATCCCACAAACAGCTCACTCCCAGAGTGGGAAAAAACAAAAACAGTTTGCTGGTGATAAGATAGCCTCTGAGGCCCGCACTCTCCCCTGTTGGTTTGGTGGCACCTCAGATTGAAGAAGTCCTTCGGATGAAGGACGAAACAGCTCAGAAAAAAAAGAAACCCTCCAGAGGACCTGACTGAACATTGTTGGATTTATACCTGGATTAATGAGCATGGACATTGCACCAAATTATTAAGATGTTTCAACTAATTTAAGTCATAATCTCATGTTCATTCATTCAACCTTTATTTAGACAGGTTAATCCCATTGAGCCTCGGGGACTCATTTACAAGAGAGACCTGAATTTTTTAACAAAGAGTGATGACAACAGTGGACAACAACGTCAACAACAGACAATCATAAAAGATGCGTACAATTTTTTTTAACAAGGTAAAATAAAATGGCAACCAAAGGACAATCAAAAGGAAATGTAACAAAAAAACAGCTAGGTTGTAAAGCAATGTAGAATACTAAAAACAGGAACATGTCTGCATTGTCTCATCTTGTTTCATCAATCTCATGTTCATGTGGGGACCATGATGGTATTTGATCCATTATAACTCCCAGCAGTTTAACTTGTTCTGTTGTCCATTTAAAGAAAGATGCAACATTTGAGTTAGTCTGACAGAATGTTCAGAGCCCCACACTACACTCTTTGAGTTAACTGTTCTCCATCAGCCACTCAGAAGCAGACAATATTTTAAAGGTTCATTAGCAGCAGGTCAAGAGGACGAGGGACAGTCAGTCAGTCAGAGGCTGAACTGCTCAGCAGATCTGGGTCCGACAAATCAAAACTTTACACTTTTTTGGAAACCATGGCTGTAGAGACATCTGTTCTAAAGAGGAGAGGGACCATCAGCCTGCTTTCAGGTCAGAGTTCAACAGTTTGCCTCTCTGGTTGTATGGGGGTGCATTGTGCTTCTGGAAATGCTTCATCAATGCTGAAAAGTATCTTCAGGTTTTAGAACAGCATTTGTTCCCATCCAGATGTGTTTTTGTAGAGAAGGCCTCGGTGCTGAACTGCACACTGCCTCCATTACTACAGAACAGCTGCAGAGTCCAGGTGCTGGACCGACCTGCAGTCCAGACCTCTCACCAGCTGAAAAACATCTGGCACATCTCCGTCAATTGATCTGTTTACTATGTTCAGCTGTGAGTGAAGTCTGGGTTCATGTGACTTGCAAATCATTGCATTCTGCTTTTATTTACTTTTACCAAAATTACCTAAAGTATTTATGGTTGTGTTTCCAAACGGCTCCAGATTATGTCACAGTCATTACTTTTCCATTAAAATGCGTTTGATCAAGCAGTTGTTGTGTTCATTACATTTGTAATGTTTCAATTCATGAGGATTTTGATTACGTGACTTCAAAATGATTGTCTGTTTTTGAGCGTTTAAAACAAAATTTAATTGTTTTTTCATCCTAATCTTGGTTTACAGTGTCCCATTTCTTTTATTGTGAAAGGCTTCAGCAACCCTCTCTCAAAATTTTGGTAATCAGACACATTTGTGAGGGTTCTTTGATTTAATTATCAACCACAAGATGTTTCTGGTGTAAAGAAATAATGTTTTGTGTGGTGAAAGTGGTCTTCTGAAAGTGTTTACTAGTTTCTCAGAAGCGCAGTAACATCTCCTCATGTTTGTCTACAGCAGAGCAGAGTTCCTGCAGCACAGCTTCATTAAATGTCTGTCTGCCCTGCAGTGACCAGTCCTCTGACTCTGGACACAAACTCTGCTCATCCTCTGCTCAGCATCTCTGATGACTTACGCTCCGTCACACGAGTTAAAAGCCGCCTACCCTGCTCTGCTCATACAGAGCGCTTTGACCACTGGCCTCAGGTCCTCACAGTCCAAACCTTCTCCTCTGGGACTCACTACTGGGAGCTAGAGGCTGAAGGATTCTGGGATGTCGCTGTCTGCTATCGAAGCATTGGAAGGAAGGGGAAAGAAGGCAACGCGTTTGGAAACAACAAGGTTTACAGACGTTTCATATTTCTGTCGTCTGTGCAATACCCCCTTCACTAATAAAGACACTTTCTTTAGTTTTGTCCCTCATCGCAGAGTGAAGAGGGGGATTTAGAAATGCCCTCTGTCTGTCAATTCAGTTTGTCTTGTGAAATGGAAAACTTGAAAAACAAGTGAGGTACCGACTTCCATTTCAGTGTGGGGCTGCATCTACTTTGTAAATGTAAAAAGGGCACTTTCAAAATTTAAGTTGCCACATCAAAATTCAAGATGGCCACCACAAAAAAATCCATCCATCCATCTTCTTCCGCTTATCTGGGATTGGGTTGTGGGGATAGCAGCTTAAGTAGGGAGGCCCAGACTTCTCTCTCCAGCCACTTGGGCCAGCTCCTCCGGGGTAATCCCAAGGCATTCCCAGGCCAGCCGAGAAACATAGTTCCTCCAGCGTGTCCTGGGTCTTTCTCTGGGTCTCCTCCTGGTAGGATGTGTCTGGAACACCTCACCAGGGAGGCGTCCAGGAGGCATCCTAACCAGATGCCCGAGCCACCTCAACTGGCTCCTCTCGATGTGGAGAAGCAGCGGCTCTACTCTGGGTCCCTCCTGGATAACTGAGCTTCTCACCCTATCTCTAAGGGAAAGTCCAGACACCCTGCGGAGAAAACTCATTTTGGCCACAATCTTGTTCTTTCAGTCATAATCCAAAGCTCATGACCATAGATTAGGTAGATCATCTGTTAAATTGAGAGCTTCGCCTTTTGGCTCAGCTCTCTCTTCACCACGACAGACTGGTACAGCACCTGCATCACTGCAGATGCCGCACCTATCCACTTATCAATATCTTGTTCCATTTTCCCCCTAATTCGTGAACAAGACCCCAAGATACTTAAACTCCTCCACTTGGGGCAGAACCTCCTCCCCGACCTGGAGAAGGCACTCTACCCTTTTCCGGCCTCAGCTTTGGAGGAACTGATCCTCATCCCAGCTGCGTCACATTCGTCTGCAAACTGCTCCAGCAAAAGTTGTAGATCACAACCTGATTAAGCTAATAGGACCACATCATCTGCAAAAAGCAGAGACGCGATCCTAAGGCCACCAAAATGGATCCCCTCAACACCTTGGTTGCACCAGAAAATTCTGTCCATAAAAGTTATGAACAGAATCGTGACAAAGGGCAACCTTGACGGAGTCCAACTCTCACCGGGAATGAGCCCGACTTATTGTCGGCAACATGAATCAAGCTCTGACACTGGTCATACACCTAACAGCCCCTATCAAAGGCCCTGGTACCCCATAATCCAGGAGTACCCTCCACAGTGTTCCCTGAGGGAAACGGTCAAACACCTTCTCCAAGTCCACAAAGCACATCTCGACTTCTTGCACAAACTCCCACGCACCCTCCAGGACCCTGCTGAGGGTATAGAGCTGGTCCAGTGTTCCACGACCAAAACACCTAAATAGACCTTACCAGGGAGGCTTAAGAGTGTGATCCCCTATAGTTGTAACACACTCTGCGATCCCCCTTTTTGAATAGGGGGACCATCACCCTGGTCTGCCAATCAAGGGAAACTGCCCCTAATGTCCACGCAATATTACAGAGTCGTGTAAGCCAACACAACCCCACAACATCCAGAGCCTTAAGGAAATCTGGGCAAATCTCATCCACTCCTGGGGCCCTGCCACCGAGGAGCTTTTTAACCACATCAGTGACCTCAGCACCAGAGATTGGAGAGCCCAACCCAAAGTCCCCAGGCTCCACTTCCTCAGTGGAAGACGTGCTGGTGGGATTGAGGAGGTCTTCGAAATGCTCTTCCCACCGACCCATGACATCCTGAGTTGAGGTCAACAGCACACCACCCCCACTGTAAACAGTGTTGGTGGTGTACCGCTCCCCCCCCGAGACGCCGGATGGTGGACAAGAATCATCTCAAAGCCATATGGAAGTCATTCTCCAAGGCCTCTCCGAACTCCTCTCATGCCCAAGTTTTTGCCTCAGTGGCCACCCGAGCTGCATGCCGCTTGGACTGCCGATACCCATCAGCTGCTTCCAGGGTCTCTCAGGCCAAGAAGGCCCGATAGGGCTCCTTCTTCAGTCTGACAGCATCCCTCACTGCCGGTGTCCACCAATGGTTTTGAGGATTGCCGCCGCGACAGGCATGACAACCTTGCGGCCACAGCTCCGGTAATCCACCTCGACAATAGAGGCATGGAGCATGGCCCACTTGGATTCAGTGTCCCTCACCTCCCCCAGAACATGTTCAAAATTCTCCCGTAGGTGGGAGTTAAAACTCCGTCTCACAGGAGACTCTGCCAGACATTCCCAGCAGACCCTCACAATACATTTGGGCCTGCCAGGTCTGACTAGCATCCTCCCCCACCATCGGAGCCAACTCACCACCAGGTAGTTAGTTGTCAGTGGACAGCTCCGCCCCTTTCTTCACCCGAGTGTCCAAGACATGTGGCCGCAGATCAGATGAGACAACAGCAAAGTCGATCATTGAACTGTGGCCTAGGGTGTCCTGGTGCCAAGAGCACATATGGACACCCTTATGCATGAACATGGTGTTCGTTATTGACAGTCAATGACAAGCACAGAAGTCCAATAACAGAACACCACTCGGGTTCAGATCAGGGGGGTCGTTCCTCCCAACCACACCTCTCCAGGTCTCACTGGCATTGCCCACGTGAGCGTTGAAGTCCCCCAGCAAAACAAGGGAGTCCCCAGGAGGCGCACTCTCCAGTACCCCCTCCAAGGACTCCAGAATGGGTGAGTAATCTGAACTGCTGTTTGGTACATAAGCCAAAACAACAGTCAGAACCTGTCCCCCCACACGTAGGCGGAGGGGGGCTACCGTCTTGTTTACCGGGGTGAACCCCAATGTACAGGCACCAAGATGGGGGCAACAAGTATGCTCACTCCTGCTCAGTGCCTCTCATCAGTGACAACTCTAGAGTGGAAGAGTATCCAACCTCTCTCAGGGAAACTGGTTCCAGAGCCAGAGCCATGCATCGAGGTGAGTCTGACTATTTCTAGCCAGAACCTCTCAACCTCACACACCAGCTCAGGCTCCTTCTTCACCAGAGAGGTGACATTCCACGTCCCAATAGCCAGCTTCTGTAGCTGAGGATAAGACCACCAAGATCCCTACCCTTGGCCACCACCCATCCCACATTGCACCCAACCCTTTTAGCCCCTCCCACAGGTGGTGAGCCCATGGGAAGGGGGACCCATGTCTCCTCTTCAGGCTGTGCCCAGCCGGGCTCAATAGGTGAAATCCTGGCCACCAGTCTTTTGCCAGCGTGCCCCACCTCCAGGCCCGGCTCCAGAGTGGGGCCCTGGTGACCCACGTCTGGGGGTGGGAACATTGGTTCCAAAAATTTTAATCATCATAGGGGTATTTGGGCTGCCCTTTGTCTGGTCCCTCACCTAGGACCTGTATGCATTGGTGACCCTACTAGGGGCATGAAGCCCCTGACAGCATAGCTCCTAGGATCATTGGGGCATTCAAACCCCTCCACCACAGTAAGGTGGCAGCCCAGGGAGGGCTGTCGAAAGACTAAACAAAACAAACAAAAAAAACATATATATATATATATATTCCAAAATGGAATAAACGGGTAAAGATAA